CACCAGAGTAGAAGCACCAACCCACGTCTACACACTCACCCTCATACCCGTGTCATACACCGGCACCGCCATTAGCGTAGCACTCACCACCAGAATAGAAGCACCAACCCACTTCTACACACTCACCCTCATACCCGTGTCATACACCGGCATCGCCATTAGTGTAGCACTGACAACAAGAGTAGAAGCACCAACCCACTACTACACACTCACCCTCATACCCGTCTCATACACCGGCACCTCCATTAGTGTAGCACTCACCACCAGAATAGAAGCACCAACCCACTACAACACACTCACCCTCATATCCGTGTCATACACCGGCACCTCCATCAGTGTAGCACTGACCACAAGCGTAGAAGCACCAACCCACGTCTACACACTCACCCTCATACCCGTGTCATACATCGGCACCGCCATAAATGTAGCACTCACCACCAGAATAGAAGCACCAACCCACTACTACACACTCACCCTCATACCCGTGTCATACACCGGCACCTCCATTAGTGTAGCATTGACAACAAGCGTAGAAGCACCAACCCACTACTACACACGCACCCTCATACCCGTGTCATACACCGGCATCGCCATAAGTGTGGCACTGACCACCAGAGTAGAAGCACCCACCCACTACTACACACTCACCCTCATACCCGTGTCATACACCGACATCGCCATAAGTGTAGCACTGACCACCAGAGTAGAAGCACCAACCCACTACTACACACGCACCCTCATACCCGTGTCATACAATGGCATCGCCATAAGTGTAGCACTGACCACCAGAATAGAAGCACCAACCCTCTACTACACACTCACCCTCATACCCGTGTCATACACCGGCACCGCCATTAGTGTAGCACTGACCACAAGAGTAGAAGCACCCACCCACTAGTACACACTCACCCTCATACCCGTGTCATACACCGGCATCGCCATAAGTGTAGCACTGACCACAAGAGTAGAAGCACCCACCCACTAGTACACACTCACCCTCATACCCGTGTCATACACCGGCATCGCCATCAGTGTAGCACTGACCACAAGAGTAGAAGCACCCACCCACTAGTACACACTCACCCTCATACCCGTGTCATACACCGGCATCGCCATCAGTGTAGCACTGACCACAAGAGTAGAAGCACCCACCCACTAGTACACACTCACCCTCATACCCGTGTCATACACCGGCATCGCCATCAGTGTAGCACTCACCACCAGGGTAGAATGCTTCGGTCTGGTGACACACAACCTGGCAGCCTGGTCAGTCATTAAAAGCAGACAAACAACTGATAGAAGTCTTTCATTCAGGGACACATGGGGGGACGTTGCCATGAATGAGTGAGTGATTGTGTTCACGCGTGCAGTGAGTGAAGTGTAATCAGTGTTACTGGTGTCAGTAGGTATTGCCCAAATCAGTGAATGATAGCATGAGCAACACCATCCGTATCACATACAACCCCAAGGGAGGGAGTGAGCACGATTTTTCCGTATTTCAGCTTAATCTGACATCGGCTGAACATTTTCAAGTCAAACCCGGGTCATGACCAAACCCAGGACCAAATACCTTACTCACCATGCAATAAAGAAACCATGTTGCTCAATTTGTATTATTATCATATTTATTCATCAAATAGTATACACCCAAGCGGAACTACAACAGATGAAAATAGATAAAGATTTGTGTATTTTGTGTGAGAATGAACCTGAAAATAGGAAACATGTCTGTAAACAGTGATTATAACTTCATGAAAAACCTCGTTCTGGCTGCTTAACTATAAAATTAATATATATATCAAGTATTTAAAGCAGTAGTTAAACCGAGAAGCATTTCTAAGAATTACTTTGAATGTTACACAAGTAGAAAGTTATGTGACCAGAAAAAAACAGCTGTTTTGCAAACTTCGAGAGAAAATGGACACTACAATTTCTTCAAATATCAGACATGATTTAACTTGTACCATGACATTCCGTCCAACATGTTCTTGAAACGTGAACGTCATTGTATATCACTGATTTATGCTGTATACTGAGATGAATGAAAAAATTACACATAAAAATGTGTTTAAGTTTTCGCATGGATTTTAGGAACTTGATTTAACTTGCACCAGATGCATGTTGAATGATAAAACCAAGTTGCGCGAAACAAAACCACGTTGCACCCTCGTCCCATGAATTTACAAAATAGGCCGGTCTGCTGCCAATATCACAGTGTGTGTGTGTGTGTGTGCGTGCGTGCGTGCGTGCGTGCGTGCGTGCGTGCGTGCGTGCGTGCGTGCGTGCGTGCGTGCGTGCGTGTGTGTGTTTGTGTTGAAGGTTGCAACTACACTACATTCACACTATATTCTGTATATTACATCAGGGAGTCTATAGAAGCTAGACAAACATGTTGAAGGTTGCAACTACACTGCACTACATTCACAATATATTCTGTACATTACACCAGGGAGTCTATAGAAGCTAGACGAACATGTTGAAGGTTGCAACTACACTACATTCACACTATATTCTGTACATTACACCCGGGAGTCTATAGAAGCTGGACGAACATGTTGAAGGTTGCAACGACACTACATTCACACTATATTCTGTACATTACACCAGGGAGTCTGTAGAAGCTAGACGAACATGTTGAAGGTTGCAACTACACTACATTAACACTATATTCTGTACATTACACCAGGATGTCTATAGAAGCTAGACGAACATGTTGAAGGTTGCAACTACACTACATTCACACTATATTCTGTACATTACACCCGGGAGTCTATAGAAGCTGGACGAACATGTTGAAGGTTGCAACGACACTACATTCACACTATATTCTGTACATTACACCAGGGAGTCTATAGAAGCTAGACGAACATGTTGAAGGTTGCAACTATAGTATGTACATTACACCAGGGAGTCTATAGAAGCTAGACGAACATGTTGAAGGTTGCAATTACACTACATTCACACTATAGTCTGTACATTACACCCGGGAGTCTATAGAAGCTAGCTGAACATGTTGAAGGTTGCAACTACACAACATTCACACTATATTCTGTACATTACACCAGGATGTCTATAGAAGCTAGACGAACATGTTGAAGGTTGCAACTACACTACATTCACACTATATTCTGTACATTACACCAGGGAGTCTATAGAAGCTAGACGAACATGTTGAAGGTTGCAACTACACTACATTCACACAATAGTCTGGTTGAAGGTTGCAACTACACTACATTCACACTATAGTCTGTACATTACACCAGGGAGTCTATAGAAGCTAGACGAACATGTTGAAGGTTGCAACGACACAACATTCACACTATATTCTGTACATTACACCAGGATGTCTATAGAAGCTAGACGAACATGTTGAAGGTTGCAACTACACTACATTCACACTATATTCTGTACATTACACCAGGATGTCTATAGAAGCTAGCTGAACATGTTGAAGGTTGCAACTACACAACATTCACACTATATTCTGTACATTACACCAGGATGTCTATAGAAGCTAGACGAACATGTTGAAGGTTGCAACTACACTACATTCACACTATATTCTGTACATTACACCAGGGAGTCTATAGAAGCTAGACGAACATGTTGAAGGTTGCAACTACACTACATTCACACAATAGTCTGGTTGAAGGTTGCAACTACACTACATTCACACTATAGTCTGTACATTACACCAGGGAGTCTATAGAAGCTAGACGAACATGTTGAAGGTTGCAACGACACAACATTCACACTATATTCTGTACATTACACCAGGATGTCTATAGAAGCTAGACGAACATGTTGAAGGTTGCAACTACACTACATTCACACTATATTCTGTACATTACACCAGGATGTCTATAGAAGCTAGACGAACATGTTGAAGGTTGCAACTACACTACATTCACACTATATTCTGTACATTACACCCGGGAGTCTATAGAAGCTGGACGAACATGTTGAAGGTTGCAACGACACTACATTCACACTATATTCTGTACATTACACCAGGGAGTCTATAGAAGCTAGACGAACATGTTGAAGGTTGCAACTATAGTATGTACATTACACCAGGGAGTCTATAGAAGCTAGACGAACATGTTGAAGGTTGCAATTACACTACATTCACACTATAGTCTGTACATTACACCCGGGAGTCTATAGAAGCTAGCTGAACATGTTGAAGGTTGCAACTACACAACATTCCCACTTTATTCTGTACATTACACCAGGATGTCTATAGAAGCTAGACGAACATGTTGAAGGTTGCAACTACACTACATTCACACTATATTCTGTACATTACACCCGGGAGTCTATAGAAGCTGGACGAACATGTTGAAGGTTGCAACGACACTACATTCACACTATATTCTGTACATTACACCAGGGAGTCTGTAGAAGCTAGACGAACATGTTGAAGGTTGCAACTACACTACATTCACACTATATTCTGTACATTACACCAGGATGTCTATAGAAGCTAGACGAACATGTTGAAGGTTGCAACTACACTACATTCACACTATATTCTGTACATTACACCCGGGAGTCTATAGAAGCTGGACGAACATGTTGAAGGTTGCAACGACACTACATTCACACTATATTCTGTACATTACACCAGGGAGTCTATAGAAGCTAGACGAACATGTTGAAGGTTGCAACTATAGTCTGTATATTACACCAGGGAGTCTATAGAAGCTAGACGAACATGTTGAAGGTTGCAATTACACTACATTCACACTATATTCTGTACATTACACCAGGGAGTCTATAGAAGCTAGACGAACATGTTGAAGGTTGCAACTACACTACATTAACACTATATTCTGTACATTACACCAGGATGTCTATAGAAGCTAGACGAACATGTTGAAGGTTGCAACTACACTACATTCACACTATATTCTGTACATTACACCCGGGAGTCTATAGAAGCTAGCTGAACATGTTGAAGGTTGCAACTACACTGCACTACATTCACACTATATTCTGTACATTACACCAGGGAGTCTACAGAAGCTAGATGGATATGTTGAAGGTTGCAACTACACTACATTCGTACTATAGTCTGTACGTTACACCAGGGAGTCAATGTATTTCTTTTTAGTCCTACAGGGGTTAATTGACAAGTTCTTAGCCTCACAGACGGAACTTAGAAACAGAGAAATCCTTTGTCATAGACATGATGTCGTTGGGGTATATCCACAAGAAGTTTGAGTCAGCTAGGGAAATCGTTTCCCTTTGAGAAATCGGTAAAATAAGCACCAGTCTCTGACTTTTGGAAGCGAAAGGTGATCCAGGAACGAAATGTGATCAAGTACTTGCAGAAATAGAAGTTTAAGGGTTCGTGGTTATCGGCTAGGGAGAGAGTGAGTGATTTACAAACCACAGAATGATGTAAACATTGCCAAAACAAAATAAGCGGCGGTCGGGTAGCTTAGTGGTTAAAGCGTTCGCTCGTCACGCCAAAAAAACGGGCTCGATTCCCGACATGGGTACAATGTGTGAAGCCCATTTCTGATGTCCCCCGCCGTAATATTGGTGGAATATTGCTAAAAGCGGCGTAAAACCATACTCACTCACTCACTCACTCACTCACTCAAAACAAAATGACTATTTGACAGGTACAACGCATGGAGTAAGAGAGTGTAGAGCAGCAGCGAGTAGGTGGGTACGATTTGTCAATGCTTCTCGTCTAACTATGTGGGTATAATTTGACAGCAGCTGAGATTCTGCTGAACACTTTCCAGGAAGTCAAACCCAGTCCACAGGAGCAGACACCTTACCCACCAGGCTACATAGCCACGCCCATAACTATATATATACTGATGAAATCTGAGACGTATTTACCAGTGTGTAATGAATGGGGAACTATGACATGGAATAAAATCTTCGCTAAACACACTCTGCACATCCCTGCTATGCTGTTTTACAAAGTGGTGTGTGACACATCAGCTCCAGCCTTCAGTAGTGGTGTGTCACCTGTCTTATTCTGTACATTCATATCAGCTCCAGCCTCCAGTAACACTTCAATACACTCTGTAGATCCACTCTTTGCTGCTGTATGAAGTGGTGTGTCACCTGTATTATTTTGTACATTCACATCAGCCCCTGCCTTCAGTAACACATTGACACACACTGTATATTCCTCATCTGCTGCTGCTGTATGAAGTGGTGTGTCACCTGTCTTATTCTGTACATTCACATCAGCCCTAGCCTTCAGTAACACTTCAATACACTCTGTAGATCCACTGTCTGCTGCTGTATGAAGTGGTGTGTCACTTGTATTATTCTGTACATTCACATCAGCCCCAGCCTTCAGTAACACTTCAATTAACTCTGTAGATCCACTGTCTGCTGCTGTATGAAGTGGTGTGTCACCTCTATTATTCTGTACATTCACATCAGCCCCACCCTTCAGTAACATTTCAACACACTCTGCAGATCCCAACCATGCTGCTGCTGCTGTATGAAGTGTTGTGTCACCTGTCTTATTCTGTACATTCACATCAGCCCCAGCCTTCAGTAACATTTCAACACACATTGCAGATCCCCACCCTGCTACTGCTGTATGAAGTGGTGTGTCACCTATCTTATTCTGTACATTCACATCAGCCCCACCCTTCAGTAACACTTCAACACAGTTTTTAGATCCAAAAAATGCTGCTGTATGAAGTGGTGTGTCACCTGTATTATTCTGTACATTCACATCAGGTCCAGCCTTCAGTAACACTTCAACAGCCATTGCACATCCCCACCCTGCTGCTGCTGTATGAAGTGGTGTGTCACCTGTCTTATTCTGTTCATTCACATCAGCCCCAGCCTTCAGTAACACTACAACACAGTCTGCAGATCCCCACCTTCCTGCTGCTGTATGAAGTGGCGTGTCACCTGTATTTTTCTGTACATTCACATCAGCTCCTGCCTTCAGTAACACATCGACACACACTGTATATCCCCGATGTGCTGCTGTATGAAGTGGCGTGTCACCTGTATTTTTCTGTACATTCACATCAGCCCCAGCCTTCAGTAACACATCGACACACACTGTATATCCCCGATGTGCTGCTGTATGAAGTGGTGTGTCACCTGTCTTATTCTGTACATTCACATCAGCCCCAGCCTTCAGTAACACATTGACATACACTGTATATCCCCGATGTGCTGCTGTATGAAGTGGTGCGTCACCTGTATCAGATGAAAGTTGATTCACACTTGCTCCTTTCGCCAGCAGAAATGACATAACATCTGAGTGTCGTCTACATGAGCTGTGAAGAGGAGTGTCTCCATTAGATGACATCATGTTAACAGTAGCACCCTTCTCAAGTAACATTTTGACCATAGTCAAGTTCCCCACCTTACAAGCACTGTTTACAGCATCACCATCAACCTGTGCTCCTCTGTCTAAAAGAAAGTCTACCATGTCCTTGTTCTGGCTCATGAAAGCAATTCTAAGACCTTTCTGGTTATCCAGATGAAATCCTGTTTTCACCAGCAGTTTCACCACCCCTAAGTGACCATTTTTTATGGCAAGGTACAAAAGGGCACCATTTACACGATGAACATTGACATCCACACCCGTGTTAATTGCTTGTTCCACGGCTGATGTAAGGCCATACTTGCAAAGGTAATGAAAGACAGTATTTCCTAGTTTATCGCATGCATTCAGGTCAGGGGCAAGGGCCAGAATCTGATCGACAAACTCACTGTTTTTGGTTTCCGCTGCTAACATGATCGGAGTTACATTAAGCCGACCATATCTAGCATCCATGTCAAGCTTCATGTGTTCACTGATGTAGGTCAATACACTACAAGCAGCATTCTTGCACACCCCAAGTAAAATGTCCCTTTTTTCATTTTGGCTGAATGATATGTTTTCTTTCTCCATAATAAATTTGATCAGATGATGTGACTTATTGCTTGAAAGCAATTCACAAAATGAATGTGACTTGTCGCTTAAAACGTATTGTCTTGAAGAATTATCAGCTAGTTTCAGAAGATCAGGAACAGACATGTGACAGTTTGTCTTCAGACAGTCCATGAGCAAGTCAATAAACTTTGAATTACAACATGTCTCGTGCGATAAGACATGCAAGAAATTGCCTCTCTCAATTTCAGTTGCAAATCTTCTGGCTAAATGTCCAGCAAAGGTCCATGAGATGTTTGCAACAAGACCTGTCTCACTAGGAACATTTTCCCCTAATCTTGTGGATGGTTTAAGACGAAGTCGCTGATGGATGAATGACAAACTACAATTTTCGATGACAAACTTTGATTGTTTTGTACTGAGTATTAAAGCAATACTGTCATATATAGAGGGATGGTCAAACATGTATGTGTCATCTTCCTTCTTGAGATAAGATCCAACCAAATCATCAGCAGCTGTTATGCTTTCATACGCAAGATAACCATTCTCCTCCAACTCCTGTCCACTAATCTTCCCATCTCTTTTAATCATAGCCATGAACAGTGAACGCTTTATCTTATCCTTAAGAAATTTATCCAAAGTCTTTTTGAGGAACACAAGAGGCATTTTAAAAAAATCTAAAACAGTCTCTGCTGAAAGCTGAGTCTGATCCTTTCCATATGTCGTGACAAACATTTTACATACATGGGGAAAGCCGTGTGGACAGTCAGCCTGACATATCTGAGACACAGTTGACTCATCAAAGTCCATCTTTGTCTTTGTTTTGACATGAACATGCCAAATCTTCCTTCGTTCATAAGAGTCTCTCTGAGAAGAAACTTCCACCACATAGAGGGGACTAGATATGTAATCTGCCATCTTTCCCAAGTCTGCCAGTGAGGATTTCAGCACATAGTCACGGCCTACGAGGATAATGATAGTTTGGTCTTTGTTAGGCGCTGTTCTTTTCAGCTCTGTTTGCTCATCTTTTGTTCTCTTTAAACCATTATTGATATTAGTGGACTTGTCTATGGGATCCTTTTCTGTATATTTATCAGGATCTTTCACATCCACAACAGGTTGTAGACTTGGTCTCCACTTGGCCCATTCTGCTACATCAAATTCCAGATCACCAAATATGTCATCTAACATAATGACAGGGTCAATGCTGGCCGTTATGACCTCATTGAACTCCTCCGGTGACACAACCTGATACACTTGTCTCCCCTGAGTGTGCTGATCTTTGAGAGCCATGTAGGCTATTGTAGACTTCCCCTCTCCTGGTCTTCCTTTAATTGTCACCCATGTTGCTCCTCTGTCTAGCTTGTCTGTCACCTTCTGCAGGCCTTTTGTCTCCACCATGTCTTTAGTCCACGACTGTATCCTGGATTCTGTTCTTTCTGTAAAAACAGGGCTTTATATTTGACTATATTAAAAAATCTGTATTAAAGTTAACAATCTAATTATTATGATAATTTATTCTCAGTTAAAGGAACATATTGTAGCCATCATCAAATGCGGTTTGACTCTGAGCATCCTTATGTTGACACGTGCCCTGCGAACACAAAATATTAAAAGTATTATCTATCAAACTGATCAAACTGAAACATGTGTTCTCATAGCATTTCTCATTTCTGTGTAAGTTATTGTTCTAAACGAGATCAGACAGTTTACGAAAGTAAGTGGATAACTCACTCCTGATCTTCTGTGCTGCAGTCAGGTGTTTCTCCTCTTCCTGGTTGGTCCGAGGTGCACCATCGTTCTGTGTTCCTCTAATGTTCTGGGTTCCGCCAAAGTTCAGATTCCTGGCGCCCCTGACTGTCACATCCCCAAAATTCTGCTGTACGTAGAATTTGTTGTACTGGACACCTGGAACGTAAAATGGGACTGAAGCCATCACAGATGTCTCTATATTTGAACTTAGATATCTCTATAGACAACGATCATGAAGAGAGGCTTACTACTTCATATTAGTCATTATATTTCCATTAAAGGTCTCATTACGTTTTCTAAAATGGCTAACCTGAAATAGAGCAGAGCTTACAACTCTCTGATCAGTCCGGGTGAGATTGTATTGAGGCTGTATACGGTTACAGACACCCTGCCCAAAAATGTAGGCATAGATGCCACAGGATATTTTCTGAAAAGCGTCATTTATAATTATCCTGTTGTAAGTATTAGATATCTGAACCATTAGTCATGTGTGTGTATCATGTAACAGCGCTCACCTGAAGGAGAATCCACAGGCACTGGTACCCCAGGTAGCCCTGATGACTGTATCTCTGATACAACAGATCCTGGTATTCTGGGTAGAAGAGAGGATGTGGACGCTGGTGTCAGTGCTGCTGTTCTCGGGACTTGCGCAATCGTTGTTTCGGGGACTACACAAGACGTAGTTGTTGACAACTGTAATTGACTTGTTGTCTGATCAACATCAGCAGCTGAAGCTTGCTGGAGTTGTGTCCCCTGCTGTGATGTTGACGCTATTTCTCCCTGTGGTTGCTGACAACATCCCACAATGTGTTGTGCCAGTGCCGTGGTGTCTATGATGGGAACAAACATTGATATTATCCCTTCGGATTAGCTTCAGGAAAACCTTATGGTTACTTAGCAAACGGCCTGTTCTGACCGCTATATTTGTATCTTAGCATGTTGCAATAAAACACTGTTTTGGTTGTTTCCAATTGGCGCAGATTGAAGTTTAGAGGACAGTTTTTGAAAAAGAATGGATTTTGATGATTACTTGGCATGGCTATTCATAACTCATATTGTGTATGAGTACATCTTCCCGAGGAAAGGGATTTAACTGACCCTGAAGTCCAGTTTCCATCCTTGCAGAACTGGCCCGGGCTAGGATAACTGGGCTCGATCGTAGCGCCACCAGTAGCTATTACGAGTTATGTCCCTTCTATAACCCTCATATTGACCAATCATATTTAACTTCAGTCAAGACGATCTGATATATATTGTAATAACATGGGTGCATCAAATGCATCAAATCACGTCAATACCTAGATTAAAAACGTCAAAAGATTTGGAAACTATCAGACGATGCTTAGTTGACGGTATACACCCCTATAAATCCTGCAGTCGTCCGAAATGTGCTCATTGAAATCCATGTTATTTACGAACTGGATGTTGATTTCGTTATGCGATTTTAATTGGGCTGTGCTAGTTCAGCCAAAATATAACTCCATAATTCCAGTCCAGTTCAGCAAGGGTGGAAACTGGACTATTAGAGTCAGTTAGGTCCCTTGCCTCGGGAAGATGATATGAGCACAAATCTTAAGCCTGACTTCCACTACTTTCTTTTATTTTGCATTGGCTCGTTTTTTTAATTGTGTTGGCTCTTTCAGAAATATTACGAGCCAATTGACCGAGGAAAACTCACCATGTGAGTAAGCCACCACTTACTAGCCTTACTTCCGGAAGGCAGACATACCTTTACCTACAAGATGGTATGACTGTTGTTGGACAGTCTGGAATTTGACCTTTGTAACACATGCTCCAAGTTCATACATATCTTCTATTCTATCCCCATCGTCTTCATCTGTAACGTCACCAGTCAAACATTCGTCAGCACTCTCTTCATCAACATCTTTATTTCCTGCATCCTCCACAGTACTGCCTGATCCGTCAGTGGTTCCAGGCGGGTTGTCCTCATCATTGCTTTTCCTCCTGCAATTTGCTGGTGTACATTCTTCACTGTCTGTGTCACTTTGACCTTTCTCCATCTCGGCCATATTCAACCACTGAATATATCGTTCTAATTTCTATCTTTGAAGATTCTTCACTACTTCCTGTCTTTCATGAGGGTCTTCAATCTAAGTTGGCACCACACTCGTCATCATCATCCTACAACAAAACCGCCAAATGTGTACAACGTCTATCTCACCGCAAACACGAAAACGTCGAGTTTTTTTTCGTATATGGTCATTGGACGGAAAAACGACGTTATTTGGACGTTTTCAAACCATCGGGTTTTTTTCCGTCCAAATAACATCGTTATTTGACATCGGAATTTTCTGGAAGAGAACGATATCATGAAGCTCCTCCCTTTCTTGATTGACATTGTCTACCGGTATTCCTACTTCTCAGCTTTCATTGGTCAGTTCTCGCGTGTTAGATTAGGCCCACGTTTGACGCTGCACTCGAAGCGCTTTGCGGAAGTACTGAATTCAATCGTTCTGCGCATGCGGATTTCTTAATGCCTTGTCCAAATTTTCCGTTCTGTGCATGCGCGATTTCGCGTATTTTTTCCTAGATTTAATGTCATCACTATTTGATAATGATTCATAAACAGAGTCTCGTGAAAGTTCGGAATTGTACAATTCCAAACTGGTGATGTCTATTCAGACTAATGCTTAGTATAGTTTTGAAAGAAACAAGTAACTTCAGTTAAATTGAAGAGGAGCCCCAGTGATATGGAAGATTCCGAAATGAATATATTCTATGGCTATCTAGGCTCCAACCCAAACCGATCGAAAAGGGACCCGAAAGCTATATAGTCATATGGAAGTGGACCGAATTGTACATTGTATTCCGGCCGATTGTGTTTGCATTTACTTTCAAATCAGGAAAAAAGATTGAAAAGGGGAGTTGTTGAATTTAAATATTAAATGTTGCCTTTACACTAATCTGGACGTACTACTCATTGCACTCTCTCTCTCTCTCTCTCTCTCTCTCTCTCTCTCTCTCTCTCTCTCTCTCTCTCTCTCTCTCTCTCTTTTCATAGTTTCAAAATATCAAGAGCAGCAATTTCAATTACTGAAACACCCAAACACAAGGCTGTTATCAAGCGCTAGTGCAGACGTGATTCATCGGAAAAACTGTATGTTTCAGAAATACAATTCCTTTCAATATTTATACTACGAGATAATAAGGCTAACGTTTACTCACCGGCGGAACGTAGACAATATCGCTAATACAGATATAACGTATTTGAATGTTAATACTAAAGACAAATACTCATTATTTTTGCAGTGACGATATAACACTTATACACGTCAAGATGAATATTTTATGTAATTTCCAACAGGCACACATACACACACACATGTTCATTTACCAATCGTAACGTGCGTTACGAAGCTCCTCCAGGTCTATTATCAGTTATTATCAGTCCTCTGATATGATTACCCATCCAAAGCCGAATATACATTTATAACAAATGTTTCAATTGGGATAACACTTTCTCTGTTCAAGTACAGATTCTCGTACTGTTTGGGGTTGGGTCTAGTCCGGGATTTGAACCCACACTGTGAGTGAGGCACCCAATCGCCAGCACACAAAGTCAGCGAGCTAACCCAGCCACCGAACCAAAAATATTAGTCAAGATGACGTACTTTGTGTACCCCTCTGACAAGTGAAAAATGGCACGGCTCCCATGGCCGAAAGCTTTGAACCCACAATGACATTAAGAAAGTGGTCAACTGTAACACATATTATATGTCACTGCAAACAAGAAAACGTCGGGTTTTTTCGTATATGGTCATTGGACGGAAAAACGATTAAAAATTCATGAAAATTGATTAATTGGTCAGCGTCTAGAAAGTGTCCAGAAAAGCGTCCAGTTTTTCAAGCGTAAAATGGACGGAAAAACGATGCTTTTTGCTCTGCCTTGTACAACTGTTAAAGGCCAATCAGATGACGCTGGTCCCCCGACGCACGTGATGTCCAAGGCTTCCTTTCGAAAGCATTAGGTTTCGTATTTCTGGCATGCCTTGCTCTAGTATCTGTCGCGCCCAGTGCAGCGAGATTTGCTGATAAGCAAGTTTTAGGATATGTCACATGTTTATGGAATTCAGACACGCGCCAAGAAGTCAAACCAAACCATGTTACCAAATGTATTATGATAACATATCCCTCCGCTATGCACGGTTACCTCTATTGGATAATGGGTTGTGTTTCATTTGGTTATAACACTAACTTATTTTTAATGTGAAGTTTACACGATATACGGCTTTTCCATTGGACGAAAGGTCGGTCACATGACGTTTTTCACGTAACTGTATTCTTGAAATGACCTAAACACTGACTACTTCCAGGAAAATTCCGGGATGGCCTATTAAAGCTAGTCAAGGCACAGAGCGTGTATATGATCTGATATTGTATGTGTTTACATTACGGTTTGGGGCGTAAATACAATACACTGACACTGAAGTATATTCTAATCAAATCAACTGGATAAAATATGTCTCGTTGTCGCATTGTCGCCCCATCACAAATGTGTATAAAAGGCGTAAAGTTCAGTTAATGTTACAGTTAGGGAGCGGTAACCAAGCTATATCCGTCGTAGAAGTTTAACCTGATACATGTACGTCTTGAAATCAAAACACAAGTCCGTCCGCGAGTCCATAACGTTTCGTGGTGAGCGCTTAGTGTTCAACTCCCAGTTCCAAACACGTAGTACCTCATCAACAATCCACATGCCTCTAGTGCAGTGGTCTTCAGAAAGATCTTTCTGTAGACTGTATCAGACAACTGACGAGTGCGCGCCTGACCTGTGACCTCGTTACAACTCCCATGAGGTGCGTGCGTGCATGGGTCGTGATACGAGGGTTGGCGAACATGTTGTGAGATGATTGTGCGAGTAGGTTAAGTGGGTGAGGATGTGGCACGTTTGAGTATTGATACATGCAGACTTGGGGTTGGGGGACTTGGTGTGCCTGTACTAATGTCTTTTGTTTAACTCACTTATAGTGTTTTCTTTCACTCAAATAATGTTTTGCGCATTTTAATGACTGAAAATATAGTGACTCAAAGGTCATACAGTGGCCGGACATTCTACATACCTACACGAACTATAAAGCCATTTTTTTGCTGTATAGTTCTTCTTCTTCCACACACACACACACACACACACACACACACACACACACACACACACACACACACACACACACAAACACTCACACACAAACACTCACACACTCACTCACATACACACACACACACACACACATTGTTATTAAAATTAATGTATCCTCGAGAGTTAGTAAAGAACTAGACATGACCACCTTTGTTCTGTAAATCTCACCAAGTTTCAGCTTTCGCCTCTTCCTATGTGGAATGAGGTTTCACATTTGTAAAATGATCTGTCTGCACCATCAACTTAACTGCCCTCGAGCTCACCCACTGCAGTTTTCCCGTCCCATATTGCCAAGCGGTTGACCCACAAGGAGGAATACCGCCCTCCCTCAGTCCAGTTATACTGTGCCTACCACAATATGTTGTGAATACGTAGCCTTGCTGTGGCCAAACATTTTGTAACAATTTGGCAAACTTTCATATGTAAACAGCAAATGTAATCAGTTTTATTTCAACAAATCGGAAAAATCGGATCCTACTTATTTTATGGATACCATAACAATAAATCAAAACAACAGATCGTTTGAGCTAGCATGAATATCAAAAAAAATTAGCAAGTCGATTGTCATAATTCTCTCTGTTGGTCCCACGTTAAATGTTCTTCATGAATCCTGTAAATCATGAAATTAACGCAATAATAAGTCAGCTCATTAATGTGAGTATAGAACCCTGGCCTAAAATGCGTCATGACATTTATGAGAGTAGTATCGTAGGCAGTTTGGCAGAGTATAGGTTTTATCAGGGAATATATATGTCTTATGTGTGTGTGTGTGTGTGTGTGTGTGTGTGTGTGTGTGTGTGTGTGTGTGTGTGTGTGTGTGTGTGTGTGTGTGTGTGTCTGTCTGTCTGTCTGTGTGTGTGTGTGTGTCTGTGTCTGTGTCTATGTGTCTATGTGTCTGTGTCTGTGTGTGTGTGGGGGGGGTGTGTGTGGGTGTGTGTGTGGGGGTGTGGGTGTGGGTGTGGGTGTGGGTGTGTGTGGGTGTGTGTGTGGGTGTGTGTGTGTGGGTGTGTGTGTGTGGCTGCTTGTACTAGACCGGACTGATGCCGATTTATAGTGGTAGCCCACTGAGATACCATGCCGCAGTTTAACATGAATATACCACTCAAAGTTTACTGACTCCGAGCCGACCAGTCCTTGTTTTAGCCCCCCTAATGCCGAGCGCCAGACAGGGTAACAACAAGTACCATCTTTTAACGTCTTTTGGTATGACGCGGTCAGGGATCGAACCCCGAACCTTCCGCTCTCCGGGCGGACGCTCTACCACAAGACTACGGAGGCGGTCTCAATCATTAAGATAAATCCCAGGTGTAAAAATTCCGTCGTTGCCATGTTGTGTTTCTTTAACAAACAATTTCGTAGGACCACGGACTAAGGAGCCTAAATTAAGAGGTATCTGGCAGGAGAACATACCAAAACATTTCGTTTCAGCAGATCTTGGCACATCGAACAGTGGTCAATCGTATGGTAAAGGTCTCAGTCTCTGGCGCTACTGACGAGTGCTGATATTCTTAACCACTCAGATAAGGTTGACTATGTTGTAGGCGTTATTCACGTACTTGGTTATCGGTTACTCTGAAATACATCGATGTTCAAACTGAAAATCAATGCCCAACATAAATACAATGTGTGAAGCCCATTTCTGGTGTCCCCCGCCGTGATAAGGCTGGAATGTTGCTTAAAGCGGCGTAAAACCATACTCACTCACTCAACCCAAACTATGACGAATGACATGGTGGAAGCGAGAATGGTGACTATTTCTGTCGTACAATGTTGATCAAGTGCAAAATATACGAGGGCATCAAACAATTTTGTGTGTGTGTGTGTGTGCGTGCGTGCGTGCGTGTGTATGTGTGTCTGTTTGCCTCTGTGTGTGTATGTCTGTCTGTCTGCCTCTGTGTGTGTCTGTCTGTATCTGTGTATATGTGTGTGTGTCTGTCTGTCTGCCTGTGTGTGCGTGTGTGCGAGTGTGAGCGCGCGTGCGAGCGTGTGTGTGTGTATGTGTGTGCGTTTGTGTGTGTCTGCCTCTGTGTGCGTGCGTGCGTGTGTGTGTGTGTGTGTGTGTGTGTCTGTGTGCGTATGTGCGTGTGTGTAAAGGGAGTAGAGGAAGCGAAGTGAGTTGGAATTCTTAAAAACAGAATTACTGTGGGTTGTGGGTTGGGGTAGGATTTGGGGGATTGATCGGGGAATATGAGGGTGTATTGAGGTAAACAAGCGATCACATTGGATCAATCATTTCATTCAGTTTTACCAAATTCAACACATTGTTACTTGGACAATGGTGTCCTGGACAAATATGCCTTGTAAAAACGAATGAAGTTGATCGGCTTCACCTTTCACAAAAACAAACAGTTGTAGCAGTAACCGATAAAATATCTGTTTCTAATAAAGTCACGCACGCATGAACGCACGCACGTACCCCCACGGCTTTACTAACAAGATGTGTATCGTATCACGGCTTTACTAACAAGATGTGTATCGTATCACGGCTTTACTAACAAGATGTGTATCGTATCACGGCTTTACTAACAAGATGTGTATCGTATCACGGCTTTACTAACAAGATGTGTATCGTATCACGGCTTTACTAACAAGATGTGTATCGTATCACGGCTTTACTAACAAGATGTGTATCGTATCACGGCTTTACTAACAAGATGTGTATCGTATCACGGCTTTACTAACAAGATGTGTATCGTATCACGGCTTTACTAACAAGATGTGTATCGTATCACGGCTTTACTAACAAGATGTGTATCGTATCACGGCTTATCTATCAAGATGTATATCATGTCACGGCTTTACTACCAATGTATTCATCATATCGTGGCTTCACAACCGACATATGCATCGCATCGTCGTTATCAAAATGTGCATCGTATAGCGTCTGTACTCTCAAGATTTGCGTCGTATCGCGTCTTTACTGTCAAGATGTACATCGTATGTCGGCTTTACTGTCAAGATATATCGTATCGCGTCTCTACTGTCAAATACTGTCAAGATGGGCATCGTATCACGACTTTACTATCAAGATATGTATCGTATCATGGCATATAACTATCGTTAGAGTGTATCGTGAGGAAAAAGAAACATACAGCGACGTAGAGTAAGAGAGAGCTTTGGTACACAGACGGAGCAAGTCTACCCCGAGTGGTGACTCATGTGAAGTGTGATTTACTGAGACAGGGAGTACGAGAGAGCATTGGTACACAGACGGAGCAAGTCTACCCCAAGTGGTGACTCATGTGAAGTGTGATTTACAGAGTCCACACATGAGGTAACCAGATAAACATCTCCAGCTGATTATAATCCCGCTACCCACGAGCCAGTCATAAACTGGAGACATTCGTCAACACTGCGCGACACATATTACAGTACAGGCTATTCAATGTCATAAACTCCACCAAGTACAACACAGGTCCGACACGTGGAGATAACGGGTAAGACTTCGTCCTCTGCTGGATGTAAAGGGCGACTTAAGGGACAGAGTGGTTAGTGATACAGTGATACTGGGTAGTGCACGGCTGATACTGATACTGAGTGGTACATGGCTGATACTGATACTGGGTGGTACATGGCTGATACTGATACTGGGTGGTACATGACTGGTACTAATACTGCGTGGTACATGACTGATACTGATACTGCGTGGTACATGGCTGATACTGATACTGAGTGGCACATGGCTGGTACTAATACTGGGTGGTACATGACTGATACTGACACTGGGTGGTACATGACTGGTACTAATATTGCGTGGTACACGACTGGTACTAAAACTGCGTGGTACATGACTGATACTGATACTGAGTGGTACATGGCTGGTACTGACACTGGGGGGTACATGGCTGATACTAATACTGAGTGGCATACTGAGTGGTACATAGCTGATACTGATACTGAGTGGTACATGACTAATACTGAGTGGTTAGTGATACAGTGATACTGGGTAGTGCACGGCTGATACTGATACTGAGTGGTACATGGCTGATACTGATACTGGGTGGTACATGGCTGATACTGATACTGGGTGGTACATGACTGATACTAATACTGAGTGGCATACTGAGTGGTACATAGCTGATACTGATACTGAGTGGTACATGACTAATACTGAGTGGTTAGTGATACAGTGATACTGGGTAGTGCACGGCTGATACTGATACTGAGTGGTACATGGCTGATACTGATACTGGGTGGTACATGGCTGATACTGATACTGGGTGGTACATGACTGGTACTAATACTGCGTGGTACATGACTGATACTGATACTGCGTGGTACATGGCTGATACTGATACTGAGTGGTACATGGCTGATACTGATACTGAGTGGTACATGGCTGATACTGATACTGAGTGGTACATGACTGATACTGATACTGAGTGGTACATGGCTGATACTGATACTGAGTGGCACATGGCTGGTACTAATACTGCGTGGTACATGACTGATACTGACACTGGGTTGTACATGACTGGTACTAATATTGCGTGGTACACGACTGGTACTAAAACTGCGTGGTACATGACTGATACTGATACTGAGTGGTACATGGCTGGTACTGATACTGGGTGGTACATGGCTGATACTGACACTGGGTGGTACATGGCTGATACTAATACTGAGTGGCATACTGAGTGGTACATAGCTGATACTGATACTGAGTGGTACATGACTAATACTGAGTGGTACATAGCTGATACTGATACAGAGTGGTAAATGGCTGATACTGATACTGAGTGGTACATGGCTGGTACTGATACTGAGGGGTACATGGCTGATACTGATACTGAGTGGTACATGCCTGATACTGAGTGGTACATAGCTAATACTGATACTGAGTGGTACATGGCTGGTACTGATACTGAGTGGTACATGGCTGATACTGATGCTGAGTGGTACATGGCTGACACTGATACTGAGTGGTACATGGCTGATACTGATATTGAGTGGTACATGACTGATACTGAGGGGTACATGGCTGATACTGATACTGAGTGGTGCATGGCTGATACTGAGTGGTACATGGCTGATACTGATACTGAGTGGTACATGACTGATACTGAGTGGTACATGACTGATACTGATACTGAGTGGTACATGGCTGATACTGAGTGGTACATGGCTGATACTGATACTGAGTGGTACATGGCTGGTACTGATACTGAGTGGTACATGGCTGATACTGATACTGAGTGGCACATGGCTGGTACTAATACTGCGTGGTACATGACTGATACTGACACTGGGTGGTACATGACTGGTACTAATATTGCGTGGTACACGACTGGTACTAAAACTGCGTGGTACATGACTGATATTGATACTGAGTGGTACATGGCTGGTACTGATACTGGGTGGTACATGGCTGATACTGACACTGGGTGGTACATGGCTGATACTAATACTGAGTGGCATACTGAGTGGTACATAGCTGATACTGATACTGAGTGGTACATGACTAATACTGAGTGGTACATGGCTGGTACTGATACTGAGTGGTACATGGCTGGTACTGATACTGAGTGGTACATGGCTGATACTGATATTGAGTGGTACATGACTGATACTGAGGGGTACATGGCTGATACTGATACTGAGTGGTGCATGGCTGATAGTGAGTGGTACATGGCTGATACTGATACTGAGTGGTACATGACTGATACTGAGTGGTACATGACTGATACTGATACTGAGTGGTACATGGCTGATACTGAGTGGTACATGGCTGATACTGATACTGAGTGGTACATGACTGATACTGAGTGGTACATGGTTGATACTGATACTGGGTGGAACATAGCTGTACTGATACTGAGTGGTACATGGCTGATACTGATACTGCGTGGTACATGACTGGTACTGATACTGCGTAGTACATGACTGATACTGATACTGAGTGGTACATGACTGAAACTGATACTAGGTGGTACATGACTGAAACTGATACTGGGTGGTACATGACTGATACTGATACTGAGTGGTACATGGTTAATACTGATACTGAGTGGCACATGACTGATACTGATACTGAGTGGTACGTGACTGATACTGATAGTGAGTGGTACATTGCTGATTCCGAGTGGTACATGGCTGATACTGATACTGAGTGGTACATGGCTGACGCGAATGACTGAGACACAAACACAATTTTCGAGAGACTCGTATTCATATGTGACTTATTTTCCTGTCACCGCCATGTAGTGTCGAATGTATTCAATACACATGCCCAGTGATCTTCACCTGGTACGTCAAACCCTCGAAACATCCAACTCACCTGGTAAAGGTGCCTCGAACGACACTTCGACATAACCAGAGCATCGAGATAACGGAATCAATATCATTATCAAATGTTTAAGACATCGATTCGATTGAAACAGTTCTTCGAGACACATGTCATATTTGTACGCGGTGTATATACAGGTATATACAATGAGCCTACCCACACACCGATGAGGCGTGAGAGCCGTGAGGGACACCCTTCCCTCGAATGTCCACCCCCAAGTATACCCGGGACAGCTGACGCTGACATTAATCGTAACTGGACATAACACTGATTGTAATACAGGTACACTTACCTACAGCTGTATGTTAATGTCCGGTGTATATGTGTAACGCTCCTTGTCAGTGTAGGGTGTGTAGTTTACCTGTCTTCTCACGACTCCACGACACACGCTGATAGCGTCTCGACGTATCACATGACACGCCCACCTAATCAGGTGAGCCGTCGTCACGTGGTCACGTGATGTCAGAAGAATGGTATCAGTATAGCATATCTTACTGTTGGTATGTCGTGACGGGTATGTCTCGGCTTCGATTTGGGGCTATTTTTAGCAATTTTCGTGGAGCGTGACAGAAAGTGTTTGTTCATATTACGCAAAGCAGGTCTAGTCATTATTGATCGTTATGAGTCACTGCCGGCCTAGTGCGGTATCGTTGGGATGTCTTTTTATGCTTAAGAAGTGTCAGTGAGTATGGTTTTACGCCGCTTTTAGCAATATTCCAGCAATATCACGGCGGGGGGGGGGGCACCAGAAATGGGTTTCACACATTGTACCCATGTCGGGAATCGAACCCGGGTCTTGGGCGTGACGAGCGAACGCTATAACCATTAGGCTACCCGACCGCTGCTTGATAAAGAAACTTAACATACCTCAACTGATCTGAGGCAACTATCAGACAGACTCGGTGATGGGAATGTCTCACCGTAAGACTCAGGTGCATTACAAGTACGTGAGTGAGTGAGTGAGTACGTGGATTTGGCAATAAGAGGACCATTTTAACGTCGTATTTGCAGGGGACTAAGAAAACCAATAACCAATTTGATCAGTGAGATAAATAACGTTTTTTACCGTTATTGAACTAAATTGTGAGTGGTGAGTAAGTATGGTTTTTAAGCCGCTTTTAGCAATATTCCAGCAATATCATGACGGGGGTCACCAGAAATGGGCTTCACACATTATACTCATTTTGGGAATCGAGGGCTTTAACCACTAGGCTACCCCACCGACCAAAAAATAGGAGGGGGGGGGGGGGGGGGGGGTGCGTTGTTTTGATGCCGCTTTTAACATTTTGTACGTCATAGCACAGCTCTGTGACTTAGTTGGTGCTAGTCATTGCATCCAAAGTGCGTAGATCGATGCTCATGATGTCAATTAAAAGCGGCGTTAAACTCAACTCACTCACTCACTAATGATGTCAATGACTCGATTATTTACAGACCGCCGTCATAAAGCTCGATGATTGCTGAGAAAAATATTGCCTTTAAACAAGGAACAAACAAATCAGAACACTGTAGGGAGGGGGGAGTCCAAATTTGACTGAGAGTAGTCAATACCAACTCGCCCCTGCGTGTGCGAGCGTGTGCGATATAGTCAGCATTTGCACGTGCAAGACCGGCAGCTTATCAATTTCGCACGTGTAGGTTTCTCATCACAACTTGCCTGTCCCATCTCAGGAAATGTTATCGAACTTGTATCAACACTTACTAACTTCAACCAGCAGTTTCAAGGGGAGTGTAACGTTGAAAAGTGACCCAATTGAAAAGTGAGGCCCCGTAGAACAGTGAGGCCCCGTAGAAAAGTGAGGCCCCATGGAAAAGTGACCCCATTGAAAAGTGAGGCCCCTTAGAAAAGTGAGGCCCCGTAGAAAAGTGAGACCCTATGGAAAAGTGAGGCCCCATGGAAAAGTGAGTCCCCCTTTCTTCCAGGAAACTATTTCCCTTTAAGACTATCTTCCACGAAACTTTTTCCCGTTAAGACTATCTTCCATGAAACTATTTCCAATTAAGACTTTTTCCTATTAAGACTATTTTCCATTGAGACTATTTACATTGTAACTATTTTCCACTATGATCTTTTCACATTAAGACTATTTTCCACCTTGACCTTTTCCCATTTAGATTTGTTCCAATTATGACTATTTCCTATTATGACTAGTTCCTCTTTTGACTTTTTCCTATTGTGACTATTTCCTATGATGACTTTTTCCTATTTTGACTATTTCCTATTGTGACTATTTCCTATTTTGACTATTTCCTATATTATGACTATTTCCTATTTTGACTATTTCCTATGATGACTTTTTCCTATTTTGACTATTTCCAATTGTGACTATTTCCTATTTTGACTATTTCCTATATTATGACTATTTCCTATTTTGACTATTTCCTATGATGACTTTTTCCTATTTTGACTATTTTCTATTTTGACTATTTCCTATTATGACTAGTTCCTATTATGACTATTTCCTATTTTGACTATTTCCTATTATGACTAGTTCCTCTTTTGACTATTTCCTATTATGACTAGTTCCTCTTTTGACTATTTCCTATTATGACTATTTTCTATTTTGACTATTTCCAATTATGACTAGTTCCTCTTTTGACTATTTCCTATTATGACTAGTTCCTCTTTTGACTATTTCCTATTATGACTATTTCCTATTTTGAATATTTCCTATGATGATTTTTTCCTATTTTGACTATTTCCTATTGTGACTAGTTCCTCTTTTGACTATTTCCTATTATGACTATTTCCTATTTTGAATATTTCCTATGATGATTTTTTCCTCTTTTGACTATTTCCTATTGTGACTAGTTCCTATTTTGACTATTTCCTATTATGACTAGTTCCTCTTTTGACTATTTCCTATTATGACTAGTTCCTCTTTTGACTATTTCCTATTATGACTATTTCCTATTTTGACTATTTCCTATGATGACTTTTTCCTATTTTGACTATTTCCTATTATGACTAGTTCCTCTTTTGACTTTTTCCTATTATGACTATTTCCTATTATGACTAGTTCCTATTATGACTAGTTCCTCTTTTGACTATTTCCTATTTTGACTAGTTCCTATTATGACTAGTTCCTATTATGACTTTTTCCTATTATGACTATTTCCTATTATGACTAGTTCCTCTTTTGACTATTTCCTATTTTGACTATTTCCTGTTTTGACTTCTTCGTTAGTATTAGAGCAACGCTTTGGCCAGACAATGTTGGACCAACGTTGATATAACGTTGCAAACACAACCATTGAGCTGAGTTGACGATGAACCGTCGGTCCATGTTGGCTGGTCGAGTAAAATGTATGAATGTAAACACGACCTTGTAAATAGTATAAAATCTTAGATGCGAAGTAAGCACACAGGTGTTGCTGTTTACTTACTATAACTATATTATTGTTGTTATTTACTATGTGTTCAAAATGTAATAATGATGTTGAGTTATGTCCCTTGTAAGAACTTGTATGTAAGCTTCATACATTTACCTGTGTACTGTTCAAAACTAGATGCTAAAGTTTGGTATTGTGTTTGTACTTTTGACTGAATAAACACGTCTCTCTCTCTCTCTCTCTCTCTCTCTCTCTCTCTCTCTCTCTCTCTCTCTCGCTCTCTCTCTCTCTCCCTCTCTCTGTCTCTCTCTCTCCCTCTCTCTGTCTCTCTCTCTCTCTCTCTTTCTCTCTCTCTCTCTCTCTATATATATATATATATACTTCTGTAAAATCGCGACGGTATTCTCTTTCAGATGAACAATACAGTAAACTTTGTTTATAACGAACACGCCTATAACGAACTGACCGATATAACGAACTTATGTTTTAGTCCAGGCCATTAGTTGCATATATGCTGTATATATGCTTATTACGAACTACGGTTATTACAAACTAAAATTAGTGGTCCCTTTCAGTTCGTTATAACCGTAGTTTACTGTACGTGATCGTGACGTCATTTGATAATAATATATGGGAACTAATAATATTTAAAAAACGATGTTCATACTGTGTTGGTTTACTGGAGTATGAACGCTTTGAACCGCGCAAGTTAATTAACAATTGACTTACAATGTTTGGCCCTCACTCTATGAAGATTCAGACTACAATGAACTCACACAAAGTGAACGTCAGTTAGTATGATTTTCATTATATCAGTATCATTTTACCTCAAAGGATGTCGACCTAGATCTATACACAATGCTATTTAATACATGTGACTAAATCTTCACACTGACAGCCATTCAACCAGCAGCATTCAGGAAGTGATCAATTGGAAGTTGGTGTGATGAAGTAAGACGAGTTCTATGGATGAACAACTTCTTTATTACAATTAGTGCGACGTTTCGGTGTAGATCCTAACACCTTTATCACTTGCTTCCTTAGGATCTACACCGAAACATCACACCAACTTCTAAATGCCACTGAAAGAAGACATCTGTTGTAGTTTGTTTACCACAAATGTATTCAAATGATATCATCATTGGATGAGAAAGGTCTGTTAGAATCTACTTCAGTAGGTCATTCACAAGGACAGCGCGTCGTAATACATTTGCATCAAGTAAAATACGTCAAAATGGCCGACACGTTAAACGTGACGGGAGGTATTTCCGAATTAGTTAATAATGATTGTTTGTTTTGTTGTTGTTTTTTTAACGCCGCACTCAGCAATATGACGGCGGTCTCTAAATAATCGAGTCTGGACCAGACAATCCAGTGATTGACATCATGAGCATCGATCCGCGCAATTTGGATCGATGACATGCATCAACCAAGTCAGCGGGCCTGACCACCCGATCCTGTTAGTTGCCTCTTGCGACAAGCATAGTCGACTTTTACGGCAAGCATGGGTTGCTGAAGACCTATTCTACCCTGGATCTTCGCAGGTCTGTAAATACTGAGCCTGTGACGGTTACATGTGTTACTCATCATTGGTCAGACGGCCGATCACTGAAAGGAGATTATAAAGATGCGTCCAATAGATACTGAGGTATATTCATAGATGCCGCAGACTGTCACTGTCAGTCAAAGACACGGACCGAGTCGATACTACGATAGGGCCAAGTGGGTGTGCATTTCTACTTTTCCTTCACTAGGGATGGTCGTAGCGAGGATATTCGTGAACGATCATGCAAACTCTCTGACCTTTCTCAATGCATACTAAACCACTGCGTTCAAGATGAACGGGTCTAAATGATCTCGGGGCGGTCGGGTAGCCTAGTGGTTAAAGCGTTCGCTCGTCACGCCGAAGACCCGGGTTCGATTCCCGACATGGGTACAATGTGTTAAGTCCATTTCTGGTGTCCCCCGTCGTGATATTGCTGGAATATTGCTAAAAGCGGCGTAAAACCATCCTCACTCACTCTAAATGATCACAAACAATTTAACGCTTTTGTATGTATTCGGGGAAGGGATTCC